CAGACGTGTGCTCTTCCGATCTCCCCAAAACCCCAAAACCCCATTCTGACTTACTTTAAAAATTTAATTTGAAAAATGAGAATGATAATGTTAAAGCATCATTTAATTGAAAATGTTTACCATTGGTCTTTTTATGATTATCAGATGTTTGGTGCATTAAGGCTTGTGTTCTGCTATTACATGAATTGCTATTACCCTGCATCTTCCATATTATTCATAATAATGCTTTAAAGCCTTGGATTGGCATTCGTCAGAGGATTATTGATATTCGTACTTAAAAATTCTTCAACTAGATAAATACTTCCACCTCTATTATTAGGCTTCTTATGAACTTTTATTTTATTAGCCAAATCTTAGGAACTTTTAAAAGATTCTCTCAGAGAAGTTCTTCCTCCTTTGAAAATATTGAATCCAATACTGCTATTAAATTTCTAGCTGCTATTGAAATCATTTTGAGTGTCATTTTACTCCAAATTACTTAATCTGCCACTTCGAGCAGATAATACAATAGAATCTGGATTAGAGATGTTTTCAAACTAATAGAAATTTCCCCCACCTCCTAAATCATTATTGCTCTGTCCATAAAACTGACTAGGCTTCTTTTAAACTTAGAAAAGTTTGAATTTTCTATTACTTAATTGCTTTTTATACTCCTCAAGATCAACTATTTTATTATTTTTAATTCCACTATTTGATGGTGATTGCATATTGAAGTAGTCTATTTTTTATTCACTATACTCATTTTCATCCTCTTCCTCTTTAATTTCTTCTTGAATATCTCTGAATTACACATAAGCACCAATAACATTCATCTACCCATTTGCCCCAAAGCTACTTTAAAATACTTCTTCATCCATCTTTTCTTCTTCCTCATTTGGCCTAGGACTAACGAACTCTATTACATCTTATTCATTCATAATCCCATTACCAATAATTTTGGTCTAATTTTTTCCATTCATACCCATTGTATTTCCTCCAAGCTCTCTGTAAAAAGGGTTTTGCATAAAGTAGGCTGTTGAGTCATCATTTTATTTTTACTAAATTAGCATTGAGTTGCCTCGCTGATGGGCAAAATTTTGTATGCTATTGTCTAGCTAGACGGTTATAGACTTTTATCTTTAATGCTAAAGTTACTAATTATTTATTTGAGAGCCAACCCTAGAATGCTGATTAAGAAAATTGTTTGATTAATTCATGCTATTTATCTATGCTTGCAATTGATTGTGATCCTGCCGTTAGTTTTGCTATTCATTTTACTCAGGAGGATTATCCTTGTTTTCTTCATTGTTTTATTCCTCAGAATCATCATCAATAAAAGTAGCAGATATTACCTTAATGAAATTACTATACACTGTACTTAGATCCATTTTCAAGATATATGCTATTCCTTCTCTGCAAAGATGGCAGACTCGGGGTTCAGTGGCTATCATATGCTTGCCACATTCATAGCATATTCCTCCATGACCACATTCCATAATTACTGCATCAGGCTTGGAATCAAAGCATATGCAGCATTCTTTCTATTATAAGCTTACACTAAGTCTATTAATAGAATCCTATCTATTTTTCATAATACCTCTATTGCTACTATTATTACTATTGATCTATTAGTTCTGTTCTTATCTAAAATCTTAACTCATAAATCTCTATAAATTTTTTTTGCTCATTTTCTTAGTACCAACTCCGGCTTTTTATCCAAAATTACTATTTCCAGCATTCAACTCTAGCTGATTCTAATTTTCATTATCTTAGAATTCAAAGAATTCATCTTCTTGCTGAAAGTTCTTAGAGGGCTTCTTCTACTAATGAACTTTGGTAGGAGAATTTTACTCAAACATTGAAAATTCTCTCTTGTGAGGCTTAGAATAGGACTCAGACTTGTTTTTCTTATGAGATATCTTAGCATCTTCCAAATTTCTTAACATATCTCTTCTCAATATCCTCATTTTCTCTTCTTTTCTAGATTTTTTAAAATATGTATTTGTAAGTTTTTTCTAAACGATCATTAAATTGAGAATAATTACTATAAATTAAGGAGTTTTAAATTTGTAGGTTCTTATATGGACTGTTTTCTCGATTTCTTATTCATCTTAGTCAACACTTTGTTATTCATTCTCTTCATCCATCATATACTGGCTTTAATCATCTTCATCAATATAAAGCACATGCTCAAACCAGGAACTATAATTACCTTATTACTATATAAAAGTTTCTTACATTATTTATCTTTTGAGTATTAGAGTCATTATAGAAACAAAAACCGTATATATAAGTGGAAACTTCAATATTTCAAAGCCAATTTTTTAAACTGAAAGAGGCTAAACTTATGATTACAAATCATCATGACTTAATATTAAATTCTTGCTTGGGTCATTTGGCGATTGATCATAAATTTAAATGACGCTTACAATGGGCAATAGAGTTGAAACAACAAAACCACCGCACACAATAAATGCCCAAAATGATGCCAATACTAATTAAAGTTTAAATATAAAAGAAACTTACTATCATCAAGAGTAGATTCTTCTTTAAGATAATTGAGAGCAGTATTCAAGAAAATTATTAAACTTGCAATACCCATAATCCCTTGAATAGCAAAGCTACACCAATATGGCCAGAATGTGGTGCTCCAATCCCATTATGTTTACTTATCTAATTTAAGCAACGCACTGAATCCGATTAGTAATCTCAATACGATAATAACTTTTGTCATCAATTGCATCGTAGCATTACAAGGAGTCTCCTCATATCTGATGCAAAAACAGCTTATAGAGCAAGCAATTACAGCAGGAATAGCAATTCCCAATCCACTAATATGAATCTAGCCTTTAAAAGATATATAAAACAGCACAAGTGTCCAAATTAAGGTATACATTCCGTTTTCCACAGCCCGTAGTATGTTAGGGAATCTCATCCAGGGAAGGTTTTAATTGATTTTCCTATCAATTATTCTTCGAGCACAAATGATAACTCTTATTGCATGGAATAGAATTAGTACACAAAAAGCTAGTTATATCTTTAAATGCTGAAGGAAAATAAGTTGAATTAATAGAGTTGCTATAAATATCGTGTAGACTAAGAAGTAAAGCTAGAAGTTTTCAAGCTATTCGGTAATATTAAACAGCCTCAATTAGTTATCATCGATCAAGAGCTACTCATATTATTGTCTATTTTCATATTCTTGATCATATGGATTAATTCTTTCAAGTGGAGGAGCGTTTGAATTATGATCATCATCTGTTGTATTTCTAATCATATTTTCTTCTGTATTTGATGGCTATGTTATTTATGATGGATTTGTTGAACTAGCAGAGTTTCCTCTGTTTTAACTCACACTGTTTCTTTGATTTGATAAATTATTTCTCGATCTTCTGCCTCTTCTAAATCTTGATCTTCTAGACTATGTGGTCTATTAGGACTAAACAGTCGCAATAGAAGCCTAATTCTAATGATGTCTTTAATTCCTACTTTAGGCTCGTCTTAGAGGTAATTGCTAAGTTTGTATTTGCCTATTGATGTCACTAGTTGCGTTTTCAAGAGGCATAATGGACATATTAGGATCATTTATCTAACTTTGATTCATTAAATTATGATCAACAGTCCTCATTGTGGTTGAAGCATACTGACTATTACCTTGATTTTACCTCTGATTCGCATTTACTCTCAACTGCTCATTATTTGAGTTAAAATCCATTGAGCTCATTTTTAATTAGTAAATTTATACAATTAATAGACCTTCCCTGTATATTTTACTTTTGCTTTTATGCAAGACGGGGTTTTGGGGTTTTGGGGTTTTGGGGTTTTGGGG